GAGGGAACGTGATTTACGGGACCACCGTAATAAAGTGGTAAAATGAGTGAATAAGGGTAGGACCAGTGGTGATTGGCGCGTCACCATGGATTGTGTCCCGGGGAAAATTACCCTTGGTTTAATCATCACTCTTCAGTCTCAGATCTAATGGAGTGATCTCTAATGTGTATAATAATTATGAGACATTAAATCGTCTTGTGAATTGTAATGTAATTAATGATAATAACGCTAAGTTAAGAGAATGCGTGAAGTGAAATGAGTCGCCTTGCTCTGAGTGAACACGTTAGACCTCGTTCCCGGGACGAGGAAAATGAAGCTCACTGAGTCACGACTTCTAAACCGGGACAAACCAACGGATACCTCGTCCTGCTGGAATGAGAACCGTGTCGGTGTAGCAGGACATCGAAATGAGATGGTGAATGGAGGAAATAAGGAGTATCAATCACCCACAGTTAAGTAACCCTTCTAGTTATAGCAGACTGATACTGGCCAGTTAGGTATGTTGTAATTGGATAGGTTATGGGTGATCCAGCTACATCAAGTGACCACCAGAGAATATCTGGTAAGTGGAGAGATTATGTACAAGTGTTTTTCCTTGATGGATATATCCATGTGTAACCTACCCCCCCCCCCTTCATTCAGTTACACTAATATAATCTATACAGTCCACAATTAATTAGTAGCACCGTACCTGTGGGTGCTATCCAGTCCATACTGATCTCGGATAGATATGGATAAGATTGTGAGGTCGAAGGGACCACCTGCCGTGACCAGGGGTGGTTAAGTTTTCTCACATGTCTATACAGGGTGACTACGGTAAACAATATGGTTGTCTCCCAATGAGATTACTTGTATGTATATAATGTTGAGGTACACACAGGTAATCACCCCTAGAAAATTTTCCACAATGACTATGTGGCTAAGGTTGCCCTGCTTGTACTGTGACATAAGGCTGACATCTTTAATGCAGAACAGTATTTCAATCTTCTGGTGTAAGTCTAAACCTTAGCGTAAATTTTCTCTTTCTTCAGCAGAACGAGAGATTCTCATCTTTGCTATATTACTAAAAACAAAGCTTTAAAATTAATTCGTAGATTACAAGGTTTAGACATGTCGGATTGACCACAGACGTCTTTTTACCTGTTTTCATACTTTGAACACGCACCTTCCTCAGTAGTCTGTGCACCAGGCTGGTCCTCTCCCTTGTACCATCCTCTCATCTTGGCCGTGTTAATGTCTTAATCCTATATCACTCAAATTTACCTAAAACTTTTTACTTAAATGTATTTGAACTACCACCCTGCCCAAGACTCTTCATATATCGCTGGTGAACTACCACCTTGTCCAAATTCCTCATGTATTGCCCAGTATTAAGGGAAGGTGCCTTGATACTGATGAAGGGATATTGATCTAAAGAAATGGAATTACACTTCCCTTCTGTGGATCAAAACTGATTACGTTACTTTCCCCATGAATATAAATAATAATTGCTCTTTGCTTGTGGATTTTTATTCTCATTTATTGCCCCATGTGCATCTCTCAGCAGTGCCTTTATCCTCAGTAAAGCATGTGTGTATCTTGGCTAAGCTGGTAATTGCCTATAATCCTTTTGTCCTTGGTAGGTTCATGTGTGCATGTTGTCTCCATCAGTTCTCAGGTCGTGTGACGTCTTCCTGACCGTGTCACACTGTTCCCCAAAACAATCTTATTCCATCTCCTCCTCCTCTTTCCCACTCTCGTCTTCCCATTCAGTTTTGTTTTTAGTTTAAGGTAAAGTGATCACTACTTATCCTCGGTTAGGTTTTCTGACTGAACTAGGAATGAAAAATAATGGAAGTTTAGGTTACAATTACTTTATTTTGATACCCCTTTAGTGTTCATCTTTTATTTTTACAGATTACAGTATTCTAAGCAACTTGTCAATTCTCATTCTCCTCGTATAGTTTCTGTTCCAATATTCGTTTTGTTTTGCATGGTTTGTAATCCTGCAATCCAGTTTTCCCTCTGTCCTGTCCATCATTTAATTATGACCCATTTCCCACATCCGTGTCTCACCCCAAACCCTCACTCCATAACAACCTTATATCCACTTCTCGGCCCCAGAGCTTCACTCCATAACTGCTTCCTCACATCAATATCTCCATCCTACATTTCGTTATTACATCTTCACTGCCCAATTTTTCCTCATGGATATCTCAGTTTCTTTTAAACAGCTGGACTAACTTCACTGATTGTCAGCTTTATGCCTGTAAGATTTTCAACATGTTATTTTTCATAGTTCCTGTCACAAGAAGCACAGATTTAGATATGAAATAGAGATGAAACTGGAATAAATAAAAATAGGATAGAGACTCCGTAGAATGGGAAGATATACAGTTCAACCATCGAGAACTTCACAACAAAAGCCACTAGTGAAGGTAAGACAGTTGTTGTAGAGGCGGCTTCTCGGATTAAATTTATGGGCAGGGCTTTTTTTAACAAGGATAGAAATAGGAGGCAAAGGGTGTGTTTTCCTGGGGTTGGGATGGAATACATAATTAACATGGTAGGAAGCATTATGACTGAACCTGCTGCCTGAGTATACACAGTGATAGTTATTAATGAAATCACGAAACAAGTGATTTTCAGTCATTAACAGAACGGCAGCTAGCCAGGATTCGATCCTGCATCGCTGTGAAAACAGGACAATGTACGCATCACTCTATCCACTGGACCAATTGTTGGTCCAGATAGTGGTAGATATATACAAATAACAAGCATATAGGAGAATGAAACTTATGACGACTTGTCTCCTATGTGCGGGTTATTTATGTATTGTTCCAGTCACAGTATTGTGCCTTTTTATTCTTTGTAGATGTAATTACAAAGATAGGAAGGATACCTGTCATATGTGGCATTCTGCCATGGGGTGGTGTTTGCAGTGTATTTTTGTCCACAGTAATTGATATTAATTGCTGGCAGTGCCATTTATTGAAAATTGGGACCACTTATATAGCAAGACTGTTACGTTTGCCAAAGTTGGGAACATTTATGTATGACACAGGGTAGCAGTGTTACCTAGTTCAGTTGCTGCTATATATAAGAATTTAATCATTAAATAGAGGCATGGGTGTTTGTGAGAGAAGAAGGGGATTGTGTTTATGTAGATTTAGGCAATATAAATGTCTTGATTGTGATATTGTGGATTTGCAAAACAAAGTAATCAAAGAAGTAAACAAAGCAAATCTGCCAGTGGCTTGTGGCCTGGTAGGCAACGCTCTTGCTTCACATGCTGAGTGTCCGTGGTTTGAGATCCAGCAAGGGTGGAAACATTGGTCGTGTTTCCTTTCACCTGTTGTCTCGTTAACGTAGCAAGCAAGTAGGTACCTGGGTGTTAGTTGACTGGTGTGGGTCGCATCCTGGGGGACAAGAGTGAGGATCCCCAATAGAAATAAGATAGTCCCTCGATGACACACTGCCTTTCTTGGTTTATCTTGGATGGCTAACCCTCCGGGGTTAAAAATCCGAACAAAATCTTATCTTAATATCAAGGAAAGCAGTGGAAAAAGAAACCCATTATATTACTTACATATTTTGATTTGGAAGTGATATAAGAACAAACTGGTTTAGCAGTAGAGTTACGGATGAGTGAATCACACTTGCTTAGTAGTCACTCAAGCAACTCCTTGAGAAGCTGTAAAATTGTAGACGTATATATAAATAAAAAAGGTTGAATTTGAGTAGGACCTAATGATAGGAAACTGAAGTGTTGTCTAGCTACCATTTTTTCTTTGTTCTACAAGTGTTTTATCCATTTTTTTCTAATGACTTTTGCCAGCAATTTCACAACGTTTGTCAGTGAAATAGGCATCAAGTTTAAGGAATTTTCAGTGTTGCCTTATTTTAAATATGTGTCCAGTGTGGGCCGTTTTCTGTTTGCCAGTTTATCCTCAAATAGTGAAAACTCAAAGATTTTTCCAGAAAGGATAACTTAGTTAAACTGGATATTTATTTAGGACATATTCCGCTGTTTTACATAACCTGCACATAAGAGAATGGAACTAATGACGACGTTAATGGCTGTGTGCGGGTTATTTGTGTATTGTTCCCAACATGGTATTGCGCCTTTTTACTCTTTATGCTATTTTGTTTTAATATTTTTTTTTTCACTTTCTACATCCAGCAGTAGCTTTCCAATCTATTTTTCCAATATTACAATATTCTTTGTTTTAATTGGTGAGTTTTGTGGGGATGCTTTATATATGTATTCAAATTGTTTTCACTCTGGAACTTCCTCCAATTTGGTGATTTTCTTGTTGGCCTTCATACTTAGTAGCTATTTTATTTTTCACATGTAATTTTTAATAAAAGATTAGGTTGCATCTTGCTCTGGTTCACTATCTCTCTTAATATTTCTTCCTCCCTCTTTACCCTTGTATGTACACTTCTGATTTGTTTCAATCTCTAGTAATTCCTGGATTCGTTTCAAGCCTTTTCTTTTCATGACTTTCCAGCATCTTCCATTAGCTCATTTTTTTCTCCATTTTTTAAGTGTATGACGAGGGATGATATGTGGATACGCAGGGGTGTGGCCAGGGGGGTGTCCACGGGGGGGTGTTTGGAGGGGTGTGGTGAGGGGGAAGTGTTTGGAGGGGTGTCTCCAGGAGGGGGAGTGTTTGGAGGGGTGGTAGGGAAGTTGGTGGGTTTATTTTTACCATTCATATACTGGTGCTTCCTGTGATAAGAGCCATGAAAATAATGCGGTAAATGTTATCATTTCACATCATAAAATTCTGTGACATTATTGTAACTCTTCTCTCCAAATAGCTGAACTCCTCTTTTCTAATTCATACCCATCACATCCATATTAATTTTTTTTATCTAATTTATTTTTCCTGCATCCCATATCCTATCCTAGCTCCATCCCTAATCCCGGGCTCTCACCCTCCCTCACAAGTCCTGACATTACTGTCTGGAGGGAAGCGGCCTGATCAGCACTCGTCCTCCCGTGCACTCTCCAGGTGTTCACGTTCCAGGCCGTCTCAGGGGCGTCTCCGTGCACCACACCTCCCCCTCACACACCACCAGAGGTGCCAGGCTTCCTGCTGCCCCCGGAGAGGGTCATCATCACACAGCCGACGCCGGTGGCGGAATCTGCCGAAGATGACGAGAGTCAGGAACAGACAGATGGTACGGCAGGTGAGGGAGTCCTTCTAAGATACAAATTCTTTGGCGTCTTTAGGTTTCAGTTTTTTTCGAAGTTTTAGGCAGTGTCTTAATTATGTAATATATTATGAAGCTAATAAATGAAGAACATTTTGTAATGACATATTTGCCCAAATACAGTGGACCCTCGACCAACGATGGCATCGATTAACGATAAATCTGACTAGCGGTACATTTTAACGCAAAAATTTTGCCACGACTAGCGCTTAACAAATCCCCAGGCCCTGATGAACTGTATGCAAGGGTTCTAAAGGAATGTAAAGAGGAGCTTAGCACACCTTTGGCTAATCTTTTCAACATATCACTACAAACTGGCATGGTGCCAGATAAGTGGAAAATGGCAAATGTGATACCTATTTTCAAAATAGGTGACAGGTCCTTAGCTTCGAACTATATAGACCAATAAGCCTAACCTCCATAGTGGGAAAATTTATGGAAAATCAATAATTGCCGAGGCAGTTCGTAGCCACCTTGAAAAGCATAAATAAATAAACGAATCTCAGCATGGTTTTACAAAGGGGCGTTCCTGCCTTACGAATTTATTAACTTTTTTCACTAAGGTATTTGAGGAGGTAGATCATGGTAATGAATATGATATTGTGTATATGGACTTCAGTAAGGCTTTTGACAGGGTCCCCATCAGAGACTATTGAGGAAAATTAAAGCACATGGAATAGGAGGAGAAATTTTTTCCTGGATAGAGGCATGGTTGACAAATAGGCAGCAGAGAGTTTGCATAAATGGGGAGAAATCAGAGTGGGGAAGCGTTACGAGCGGTGTTCCACAGGGGTCAGTGTTGGGCCCCCTGCTGTTCACAAAACTACATAAACGACATAGATGAGGGCATAAAGAGCGACATCGGCAAGTTTGCCGATGACACCAAAATAGGCCGTCGAATTCATTCTGACGAGGACATTCGAGCACTCCAGGAAGATTTGAATAGACCGATGCAGTGGTCGGAGAAGTGGCAGATGCAGTTTAATATAGACAAATGCAAAGTTCTAAATGTTGGACAGGACAATAACCATGCCACATATAAACTAAATAATGTAGATCTTAATATTACGGATTGCGAAAAAGATTTTGGGGTTCGGGTTAGCAGTAATCTGAAACCAAGACAACAGTGCATAAGTGTTCGCAATAAAGCTAAAAATTTTTCCTTGGCTTCATATAAAGCAAAAAATAGGAGTCCTCAGGTTGTTTTTAACTCTATATCCTTGAAGAATTGAGAACTTTGCAAAAAGGGAATCTTTTTGAAGAAACGTTTCGCCCACAGGGCTTCATCAGTCCAATAAAAAGTAAAAGCCACCTCTCTGGCCCATGCTGCATTTCCTAAAAGAGTGAGGGATTTGAAAACATGTTTCCCCGGGTTTGAGGGACTGTTTACCTCAAACTTTACCCCTTCCCCATTTCTATTTGTTTGGACTGATGAAGCCACTGTGTGGCAAACGTTTCTTCAAAAATTCCCATGTTTTGCTAAGTGTCTAATTCTTAAAATTGTCGGTTTTCTAAACCATTCATCACACTATACATCCTTGGTTGGGCCCCTATTTAATTATGCGCACGTTTTGTCACCGTATTACGGGATGGATAAAAATTTCTCTGGAAAAGTGAAAAGGGGGAAGGATGAAAAAGTTGATCCCTGTATCAAAAAACTTCCCTAGGGGATAGAAAAAGGGCCCTTGAATCTGCACTTCTAGAAAGACGTAGAATTGGGGGGGATATGATTGAGGGTTAAATGGAAGAGGGGAAAAAATAAAGGGGATGTAAATGGTGCTGAAAAATATCTGCCTAGACAGGACTCGCAGCAAGGGTTTTAAGTTGGAAAAATTCAGTTTCAGGAAGGAATAGGAAGTACGGGTTTGGGAAAATAGAGTTGGATGAGTGGAACAAACTCCCGATAATTATAGGGGCCAGAACGTTGTGTAGTTTTTAAAAATGGGTTTGGATAAATACAGGGTTTGGGGGAATGGGTGGGTTGTGAGTTGGACCTGATAGCTTTGTACAGGTCGGTTGCCGGTTCCCCCCAAATCAATGTGCCCTGACCTGACTGGTTGGGTGCAGGGCTTAAGCCGGTGGGAGACTTGGCCCTGCCTCCATGGGCCAGTGGCCTTCTGCGTTTTCCCTTCGTTTTATGTTCTTATGTTTTTAAAAAACCCCGACCAGCGCTATTTTCCGTACCATACGGTCCATTTTGGGCCCTGAGGTGCCCCCTTTGCCCCTTGGGTGCCGTGTTTACAAGCCACCCCAGCCACCGCGGCGCTTCCAAACAACAACGGGAACATTTCATATTATCACAGCCTTTGTAGGTTGTACCTGAAAAAAATTAATCCCCCAGGGGCCCCCAAGAAAGCTTCTATGCAACCCTACGAAAAAAAGGGTGAGAAAACTAAATAGATGAAGAAAGGATCATTGATAAATATGAAAGGGAGTGCATATCTTGACTGGTCGGTTGTATAAAAAACCCCAATCAACCATCGCTATATTTTGGGGGAAGAAACGGCAATCAAGGAAGGGTTTTGCCAAAGGGCAACTATGTTTTCGAAACTGAGATCGCAATGAAATAAGATGTTGAAATTTTTTGGTGTGGATAAACGAGAAACGATAGCAGGGGGACAATCTCTCAAAACGATCATATGTGAAAAAAACTGAATTGCATGACGATTCAATTAAAAATGCCAGAACTATGATTGAGTGAATTTAAGGCCAGAAAGGTTGGTTTTAGAGATTTTAAAAAGCGTATGGGATTCATAGTGTGATAAGGCATGGTGGGCTGCCCGTTCGGACCCCAAATCGGGTGAAAAAAAATGTGCAGGACTTCAAGGGTACATAGGGCATGAAGGGCTGAAACCTAACAGTGTTTAATTGTGACGAAACAGGCCTTTTTGGAAAAAAATGCCAAGCAGGATCTCATTACTCAGAGGGGAAAGGGGATTCCCGGAATAAGCCTTTGAAAGACAGGCTTACTCTTCTGTGTGTGTTAAAGCTGTGTGATTGCAAAATGAAGCCTTTATTGGGTGTACACTCTGAAATCCCCGAGCGTTGGAAAAAAAGTGTCCTCAAGGGTAATTTGGTGTGTGGAGGGCAAACAGAAGGGATGGGGGCCTGGGACTTTTTTTAGACTGGTTACACATGCATTTTCCCCCAGTGAAAAATTACCTAAATTTAAAAGAAATTTGACCTTTAAATGCCTCCCGGTATTGACAATGCTCCTGGGCATCCTTAGACTTGGAGAGCGATTTCTGGGGCATGAGCTTCATTAAGGTGAAGTTTTTGCCTCCTAATGCCACCCCTCTCCTGCAGCCCATGGACCAGCAGGTTATTTCCAACTTCAAGAAACTGTACACAAAAGCTATGTTTGAAAGGTGCTTTGTAGTGACCTCAGAAACTCAACTGACTCTAAGAGAGTTTTGGAAAGATCATTTTACCATCCTCAATTGTGTAAACATTATAGGTAAGGCTTGGGAGGAAGTGACTAAGAGGACATTGAACTCTGCTTGGAAAAAAACTGTGGCCAGAATGTGTAGACAAAAGGGATTTTGAAGGGTTTGAGGCTAACCCTGAGAATCCTATGCCAGTTGAGGAATCCATTGTGGCATTGGGGAAAGTCCTTGGGGTTGGAGGTTTAGTGGGGAGGATGTGGAAGAGTTTTGGGGGTGGAGGACAGTGAAGAACTAACCACTGATGAGCTGCTAGATCATCCATTTACAGCAAGAGGGCAGACCTGAGGAAACTGCTTCGGAGGAGAGGGAGAGAGAAATTGAAGAAGTTGCCTACTTCTAAGATAAAGGAAATGTGTGCAAAGTGGCTTGAAGTGCAAACCTTTTTGATGAAAATCACCCTGACACAGTACTGCAAGCCGTGCTGGTGACTATTACACTGACAATGTTGTGAACCACTTTAGGAAAGCATAAAGGAACGAGAGGTACAGGGCCCCTATGGACAGATATGTTGTGCGACAGAAGTCCAGTGACTCTGAAGCTGGTCCTAGTGGCATTAAAAGAACAAGGGAAGTAACCCCAGAAAAAGACTTGCTGCCTCAAGTGCTAATGGAAGGGGATTCCCTTCTAAACACTAACACCTCTCCCCTCCCCCCATCCCATCAATCATCACCAGATCTTCAATAAAGGTAAGTGTCATGTAATCTTCAGTTTGTGTGTATTAAAATTAATATTTCATGTGGTAATTTTTTTTCAATACTTTTGGGTGTCTTGCACGGATTAATTTGATTTCCATTATTTCTTATGGGGAAAATTAACTTGACTAACGATAATTCTGACTAACGATGAGCTCTCAGAAACGTATTAATATCGCTGGTTGAGGGTCCACTGTATAGAAACATTTGAACTGAAATGTTACTTTGTACCATTCATAAACATTAACCTATTTATATAATAGATACTAAATACAGATTTGACGAAAAAAATATTCCATTGATTTGTACCTCGACAGCAACATCGAGCTACGAGCCTCCTAACTTTGAGCTGGAACTGAGCGGGACTCAGCAAGAGCAGTACTCTCGACAGTTCAGCTCATCTCCTGAAAGTGAGACGACAGAGAAGGATGAGCAGTATGCAGAGCTCATCTCCAGTCCTGACGTGTCTAACCAGGAGGTGAGAAATTGGGCTAGAGATGAGAATCTCAAAGGCCAGAGGTGAGAGACTCGAAAGATTTGAGGTGAGAGATTTAGAGGTTAATGGTAAGAGACTCAGGCCCAAAGATGAAGGCATAATGACTTAAAGTGAGATTCAGAGGACTAAAGTAAGAATTATAGGCTAAATTGAAAGATAGGCTTCAGGTAAAATATTGATGCAGGAAGCAAAACTCTTGAGGGTTTGAAAACTGCCACTCACCTCCGCCTTTTGTCTATGAATACTTGTTTAATTTTTTCACTATGTATGGTTAAGTAATTTTTGCATTAAACGTAGATTATTTGTCATGCCCGAGTAACTGATGTCAGCATGTTGTTGTCTGTCAATTATTCCACTCCTTTTTGACTTTGCCTTCCCCGCAAGTACTATCGCTCCTTTGCTCTTTGTATTTTAACGAATTTTTCCCATGAGGTAGTAGAATTTTTCGGCCTCATTTTGGTCATAGCACTTTCCTAGTTGACTCATTTATTGTGACTCTCGCCATATTCCGTGTGTGCCCCATGTAGTAGTGTTAACCCTCGTCTTCGCTTGACAATTCACCCACCACTACTTCCCCTGGAACTGTGCAGGCCGCTGACCAGACGACCCAGAGGGAAGAGAAACAGCCATCGACTACCACCTCTCCTGACGTCGCTGAAGAGGTGAAGTTCGTAACCCCAACAGGATAGTTACTTCCTCTGTTTCCCCACGCAGTGCCCCGTAGAGCATGGCTAGTTGGTCCTCAGCCAGTAGTGTGGCAAAAAGTTCATCTGTTAGTCCTCCTGGGCATCAAATTATGGTCGAATTTCATATAATTTTGCACTCGTCTCATTGACAATCACGTATTAATTATTAGACAATTACGATTTATTAGTATTATTGTTTAGGCACAAAACTATTTCCACAGAACAATACTATATCAACACTTTCTGGCAACTGATATTTTATGGCAAGATTTGGCCTCCTGACTTACTGAGGGCTTGACTACACGATGACCCAGAGTGACCTACAGACGGCCGGTAATAGATATTATTTGATGATACACAGTAATCTTGTATTTTATCATACAGTAATAATGTTACTATCGTAATTATTTTTGTATCTTGGACATTGTGTAACTGCTAAAGTGGAGGTGTCATATCATATACTCTGTCAATGCCTTAAGACACCCTGTTATGTGGAGGTTGGGTGTGAGTACTAGCGATCCATCTTAGTAGTATGTCCTGTAATAGGGTAAGCTTCCCATTTCCTTCCAGAACATAGATCAGCGTGGAAGAACGTAAGATGGCGCCCTTCACATAGTTGTATACTTGAAATATACATCCTTACCAGCGTAGATATTAACATCTTCAACCATTTTTTTTATTTTTTGTAAGGCTGCATTTGCAAATCATTTGTTTTAACCTTGTAAATTAACATGATTGCCTTAAAGAACTTGAATTCCAATTATCTAGATTAGTTAAAAATATCTCTGAACAAGAAAATGTTATTCATACAAATGTTTTCAGAAATATTGTTGCTAATTATGTTTTTCAGTCTTATATGCAAAATATTTTAGTCCTTCCCTTAAAAAAAGTGTGGGGGGGGGGGGATGTCATGGTACTGTTTGTCCATTCATTCATATCAGCCTGTCTGTCTTCATCAGTACATCCATCTTCCATGTCAGTCCTGTAAAGTTGACTGTCTCTCTACTGCTTAAGTATTACCACATTCGTCGAGATATTTATAATAATCGAGGTACCTACAGGGACCCTCAGCGAATATTTATTTCTCAGTTTTAAAGTATCCTAGCCGACGCTTTTCTTTTAACTGATGCAAGATATTTTACCCTGTTATAAAATGTTGCAGGGGTCGAGTCATAGCTCCTGGCTCCGTCTCTTCACTGGTCGCTACTAGGTCCTATCCCTGCTCCATAGCTTTATCATGCCTCTTCTTAAAGCTATGTATGGATCCTGCTTCCACTGCATCATTTTCCAGACTGTGTGTGTGTGTTCCTGAGTGAGGGAGGAAATTATCATATTAAATGGTGAAACTTTAGGTCTCTGTTATCTAAATTTTTTTTTTTTACTCTTTCATGCTTCATATCAGCAAGTCAGTCTATCCATCCTTCATGTCAGCCAGGGTGTCCTTACACCTTTATATCATCTAGTCTGCCCATCCATCCTTCACGTCAGTGTCCTTACATCTTCATGTCATCCAGTCTGTCCATTCATCCAGCATGTCAGTCGTTGTGTGCTTACATCTTCGTATCATCCAGTCTGTCCATATATCCTTCCTGTCAGCTCATCTGCTTGTACAGCCTTCATGTCAGCCTACCTATCCATCCACCCTTAATGTTAGCCAGTCTGTCTGTACATCTATGTCAGTCTGTCCTTTTCTATTTAAGACTTCTTTCTTTCAACACACCGGCTGTATCCCACCGAGGTAGGGTGGCCCAAAAGGAAAAACGAAAGTTTCTCCTTTTACATTTAGTAATATATACAGGAGAAGGAGTTACTAGCCCCTTGCTCCCGGCATTTTAGTCGCCTCTTACAACACGCATGGTTTACGGAGGAAGAATTCTGTTCCACTTCCCCATGGAGGTAAGAGGAAATAAACAAGAACAAGAACTAGTAAGAAAAATGGAAGAAAACCCAGAGGGGTGTGTATATACATATATACTTGTACATGTATGTGTAGTGTGACCTAAGTGTAAGTAGAAGTAGCAAGACGTACCTGAAACCTTGCATGTTTATGAGACAGAAAAATGGACAGCAACAGTCCTACCATCATGTAAAACAATTACAGGTTTCCGTTTTACACTCACTTGGCAGGACGGTAGTACCTCCCTGGGCGGTTGCTGTTTACCAACCTACTACCTAAGTCTATTTAAGACTATCGGCATTAATTTTTTTTATTACTGCCATCTGCTAGCTCAGCTTACACAATTCATCTCTTGGTATCCTACTCAATGTACCGAAAGTTATAGCATAATGAACCATTTATTGTTGTCAGTTTATTTGTCAGGAAAAAACCCTGACATAGGTCTTTGTCATAAGATAACCTGTTCAGATGTGTTGACAGTGGCGGGAGGAAAGGGGGGTGTCAAGAGAGTGTCTAAGGACATATGAAGGTGGGGTAGCAATTGACTCGGGTGAGCCACGACAGCAGTGACTGCTGCCTTACTCGTGCTGGACTTTGGTTTAAAAAGTGATGCTGTGGTCAGGTTGGTTTACTAGGTTTGAAGCCTATCAACTGCCCTGTATGTCGCCAGTTCATCACAAGAGTACTTTAATCTATAATATAGGCATTAAACTAATCTCTCAGTGTATACACACACTGATACGCTCCCTGTGTATACAATGAGAGATACACAGCCGTCAGTTTGTTATTAAATGTAATAATACAAAATTACATAAATGAACCACTGCAATATTTGTTATAAAGGTGGTGTATAAGCGGGTAAAACTTTCTTCTGTTATTACAATGCAGTTATTAAGGTACATACGTATGGTGAATGCATGATCCTTGTGAGACGTGTAATTAAGGAGGGTGCAAATAGCCTCTTAGCGCTTTTTAGATGTAATTTGTTATTTCCAGAACCCTAACGTTACTACTACTATCGCCATACTTATGACTGGAGCAAATGCCAACCAGGGGTAGTGAGGAAGCAGTCTCTACTTATGAAGGAATAGTCAGCTATCAGGAAGAAACAGAGATGGGCCCCCCCATTCCCCCACAAGCACATCTTTTGCTTTGTGTGTGAAGCAGACACAACTGAGTATTGTCGCACTATGTAACCAGGTCCCACTACTCGGCAAATCCTCAAGCATAGTAAGCTTTCTCGAACTTTGAAAGTTTTTCGACCTTGCTAGCGCAACTACAGTCCTATCCTTATTGGCAGGCAAGCGAATTGAGGGATGCCGCCTGTCTTGGAGTAAAGTATACCTTCGAAATAGGGAGGACTGAATTAATTTACAGGAATATAACTACACCTGTAAACCCTAGAAAATAGAATACCACACACGGACGAGTCCACAGCCCTACCTTTTATAGCATTCTTGTAGAAGAACTGGTACAACTACCCTTATAAACAAACACAGGACTAATTATGCAGACGAACTCATACATGTATCGGGAAGAACACATCACCACGCCCAACACAAATCTTTAACCTCTTATCTGCTACTTGCAGAAAACACAGGATGTAGAATTGAAGATAGATAAGATTTCGTTCGGATTTTTAACCCCGGAGGGTTAGCCACCCAGGATAACCCAAGAAAGTCAGTGCGTCATCGAGGACTGTCTAACTTATTTCCATTGGGGTACTTAATCTTGTCCCCTAGGATGCGACCCACACCAGTCGACTAACACCCAGGTACCTATTTGCTGCTAGGTGAACAGGACAACAGGTGTAAGGAAGCGTGTCGAATGTTTCCACCCTCCGGGAATCGAACCCGGGCCCTCCGTGTGTGAAGCGGGAGCTTTAGCCACCAGGCCACCGGGCCTGGTGGCTATCTACACGCCAAACTTAAAAGTTAACATTGAGCCGAAATGGGCTGCTTCCTGTCAGCACTTCGGCCATGAAATTCACGATAAACTGACATGCCACTAACTGTGAGATAATAAAATCGTACAAACTCCATGCAGTTTGCTCCCTAATTGACTATTATACGCCGGTCCTGATCCACACATCAACCACAAACAAGGAACATTGGGAGGCAGTATAAATTAGGCCTTAAGAATTATGATTGGGTCACCCCCAGTGGAATAAAGCATAGGTAGAGACCCATCTCCCTGCTCTCAGCAACAGAATTGAATACCGCGGAGTCACCAACATGACAAGACCCGGGCCGGGCCAGTACGACGAACCTCATCCTATCCAAGTTGAATGAATAAACTCTTGTATAGTAACCGAAATCCTTAGCTGCACAGGGGAGGAGAATCATACTGAGGTGATTGCTCATTTGGCTATTGCTTAAATGAAATAATTGGAAAACGGAACTTGTATTTAACCTAACACTCTAGAGAGAGAGTAAACCATTTATCCAAAAACAAGGAAAGTATCAGCTACTTAAGTGTATGTCAACTTTCTCTTAGGACTCTGCCTCCTCCATATCTGCATTACAAGCTGCCCAATCATGGGCATTCCAACTAGAAACCCTTTACACAGTTGTATAGTTTTGGTAGACTTTCAACATCCCCAAAAGGCACTGATCTTGACACAGTCGACGAATTAAGATGTAAGAACAGGTGGAACAATCAACAGATTGTACAGTCTACAAATTATGATGTAAAAGTAAGTGGTACAGTCAACAAATTAAGATGTGAAGGTATGGGAGTACCGACAAGTCGTAGTCGATCAAGGCACACCAGCAGCAGATACAAACTTTATTTACAACAGTGTTTACCCTGTGCACCAAGCCTTTTCAAATTTAATAGCACATTATATAGGCAGAACCGAGACATTTTGAAAGAAAGTTTGCCTGTTTCGGAGACTATAGGCTTTTAGTAGGTCCAGGTAATCTCTACATAAAAAATTCATTATCTTCAGTGTCAGACAAATTGTAAAAGTAGAGGTATGAGAACACCGACAGCTTGTAGTTGATAAAAAAAACTCGCAAGTAGCACTTGTCAACGTTGTCTGTCAGCTACAAATTAAAATGTTACTTCCTAGTTTGTC